GTGGCTCAGAACCATAAAAAAACGTTGAAATATAGTTCAAATTCGATAAAAATCGACAAAAATACAGTTTCTAGCTAAAATTTGATGGTTTCGTTGCTCTTTCGGAGCCCGTAGGGTATCTGAGTGGCTTAAAAGTACAAGAAAACACTTTAAAAGTGACGTTTACAAAGAATTTTAACAATTTTCTTGTATCTACGAACGCCAGAATGCATAAAATTGACCTAAACGTCTCCTTTTCCTATTCTGAGACGATTCTGCATGCTTTAAGTGTGTTTGGTGGCTCAGAACCATCAAAAAACGTTGAAATATAATTCAAATTCAATAAAAATCGACAAAAATACAGTTTCTACCTAAAATTTGTTGGTTTCGTTGCTCTTTCTGAGCCCGTATGGGTACCTGAGTGGCTTAAAAGTACAAGAAAACACTTCAAAAGTGACGTTTCTGAAGAATTTTAACAATTTTCTTGTATCTACGAACGCCAGAATGCATAAAATTGACCTAAACATCTCCTTTTCCTATTCTGAGACGATTCGGTATGCTTTAAGTGTGTTTGGTGGCTCAGAACCATCAAAAAACTTTGAAATATAGTTCAAATTCTATAAAAATCGACAAAAATACAGTTTCTAGCTAAAATTTGATGGTTTCGTTGCACTTTCCGAGCCCGTAGGGTATCTGAGTGACTTAAAAGTACAAGAAAACACTTGAAAAGTGACGTTTCTGAAGAATTTTAACAATTTTCTTGTATCTACGAACGCCAGAATGCATAAAATTGACCTAAACGTCTCCTTTTCCTATTCTGAGACGATTCTGCATGCTTTAAGTGTGTTTGGTGGCTCAGGACCATCAAAAAACGTTGAAATATAGTTCAAATTCAATAAAAATCGACAAAAATATAGTTTCTTGCTAAAATTTGATGGTTACGTTGCTCTTTCCGAGCCCGTAGGGTATCTGAGTGGCATAAAAGTACAAGAAAACACTTCAAAAGTGACGTTTCTGAAGAATTTTAACAATTTTCTTGTATCTACGAATTCCAGAATGCATAAAATTGACCCAAAACGTTTCCTTTCCCTATTCTGAGACGATTGTGCATGCTTTAAGTGTGTTTGGTGGCTCAGAACCATCAAAAAACGTTGAAATATAGTTCAAATTCAATCAAAATCGACAAAAATACAGTTTCTAGCTAAAATTTGATGGTTTCGTTGCACTTTCCGAGCCCGTTGGGTATCTGAGTGGCTTAAAAGTACAAGAAAACACTTCAAAAGTGACGTTTCTGAAGAATTTTAACAATTTTCTTGTATCTACGAACGCCAGAATGCACAAAATTGACCTAAACATCTCCTTTTCCTATTCTGAGACGATTCTGCATGCTTTAAGTGTGTTTGGTGGCTCAGAACCATCAAAAAACTTTGAAATATAGTTCAAATTCAATAAAAATCGACAAAAATACAGTTTCTAGCTAAAATTTGATGGTTTCGTTGCCCTTTCCGAGCCCGTAGGGTATCTGAGTGGCTTAAAAGTACAAGAAAACACTTCAAAAGTGACGTTTCTGAAGAATTTTAACAATTTTCTTGTATCTACGAAGCCAGAGTAGTTATATAGTGGGGCTCCTGGCTCAGGTCAAATGAGGTCAACCCGAGCTAGGAGCCCCACAACTTTTGATCGAGCGGTCATTGATCTTTTTGGTCGACAATTGACCTGGGCGTTCATTGACTCTTTGTGGCTGCAGGTGGCTGACATGTGCGTTGACCTTGTTTTTGCTCGGTTAAGCTGACGCAGCGATCCCCTTCCTATCTCGAGCAGGCTCGAGTAATACCCCACCATCTCTTTTGCGGTTATATAAACGTCGATTTACTTGTCAGTGATTTATTTAGTATTGTGCCTTCAATTGTTGAACAGATTGTAAATTTAAAATGTCGTCTTTTATTTCTGGTTTGAATAAAGAATCACAATTACAAGCTTTTGTGAGTGCAAAAACTTTAGAAGAAAACAAAAAGTTTTTAATTAAAAGTTTTAGTAAAAATCCTACAAAATACGGGGACAAAATATTTGTACAACTGGAAGATTGCAGGACAATACTACCCGAGCGCTTTACTGAAAAATTCGACGATTCAGTAATCGACGATCTGAACAGAAAAATTGCTAACGGCTGGAAGTTGCATTTCGTCAACAAAGGACCGATCGGTCAAACCGTCAACATAGAATTCATTGAAGGATGAAGATAATGAAAAATAAGAAATATAATCTAAATATCGTTAAAACTTTGCATCGGAGATTAGATTTACATTTGGAACGTATTCGTTCCATAAAAGAAGCAATTAAGTTGTATGAAATAAGAAAAGGACTTAATAATCTTAAGCTGTAGAATTAATGATTTTAATAAATTATAATTAATCACTTACTGTGTTTTATTTCACCATCCTCGTACAAAATATTATTTTATGGTGAATCGTCATGAATAAAAGACGTGTGTGCTTCGATAATATACCTGTTATTTTCTTAATAAATGATAAAGAAAACCGAATTAATACTTGGTTATATGATGTTAGAAGATTTCAAATGAATGTGGAACGTTTCGAAATACAAATAAAACCGTTAATCGAAAAAATGATGGAGAAGAAGCGAAAATTTAGAGAAACAATCGAAAAGTTAGATTCACAATTGAAAATTATTCAACAAAGAAAATCAGTTAAATAACTTCTTCGAAAATTGGAATAATTCAAATTATATTATTATATTGTAATAAATATTGTTTATATCGTTTGGTGTGTTATTTTCACCAGTCCCATATAAAATTATTTAATTGCGATTAACCGTCACGAATAAAAGCCGTGTTTCTTCCGACAAAATTCCGTTTATTTTCGTAATAAATAAATGGTTACTTAGGTTATTCATAACAGACAAAAAAATTATTTGTTTTGGGTCGAAAATAGGCCCAGACTACATAAACTTTTACCCAAACGACAAATAATAAACCTAACCACGCCCGTAATAATTTAAAATAAAATTTCAGCTGTCCGAAGCAAGTTTCTGTTGATTTAAGCTTATTTGCACTCGGAATCTTGTACATTACAAATAATTACGGATCAATCTAACGTAAAAATAATGATGCGAAACACGTCCGTAATTATTAGAATAAAATATCAAATGTCGGAAGGCGAGAGTGTGTTGTTTAAAATTAAAAAATGTCACTTACATCGTCGAAAACAGACAGTAAAATTATCCGTTCTTTCTCGAAAACATGCATATACACACATATCACAAAAACCACCATTTAGTGTCCAAAACAAAGCAACAAAACCACTTATTTTCCGATATAATTACGAATATTTTCACCTTAAAATTTGTAAACCGAAACGCGTCGTCGTCCGTCATTATAACAATATTCTTTCGCATCAGCAGATTCCTTCGGAACCACACGTTATTTTCTCATTAGACAGGGACGTATTCGGAAATATTTAAAAATAAGGAATTATCGCTTCAGGGTGCCAAAAAGCAGAAAGTTTGTTTACAAAAAAAAAAAAACGCATCTCTATAAACTAATGACACAATTTGTGTAAAAATAAATGAGGGTAAGGGGTGTAATAATTGTTTAAATATAAAAAAAATGTTTAACTCGAAAACGGTAAGAGATAGGAGGTTCGTGCAAAGAACAAAAAAGTTTCTAAAAGACGAAACACATGCACCTATCTTGACGGTTTTTAGTTTGAGTTTAGCATTTCGGAGAAAAGGGCAAAAGTTTGTGGTGACCAGACGGAATTAGTTAAAAATTTGTTTTTTGTGTCAAATTATTTTCGGATGAATAATCGATAGGTCCATATAATTAAATATGTGAAAATTTGAGTTTGGGGCGCAACAATTTTTGTCAAAAAAGGTTGTCAAAATTCGAAAAAAAGCTTTCCTTGAGCAGTAGGAAAGTAAATTAGAAGTTTTGGTGAAAAAAAAAATTAAAAAAATTCAAAGAATCCAAAGAAAAATTGAAACAAAAAAAATCTCAAAAAAAAAATTCAAATTTTGAAAAGTTTGTTTTTCCACAAAAACAAATGCATATTCATGAAGTACTATCTAATCGTGTGTAAAAATGATTATGACTCATAGGTGTATCTACCGTTTAAATAGAAAAAATTTTTGTTACTCGAAAATGGTAAGAGATAGGAGGTTCGTGTATAGGGCAAAAAAGATTGACAAAAACAAATAATATCGACAGCCGTCAACGGTTTTTCGCTAACTTTTGACATGACTGTGAAAAGGGCAAAAGTTTGTGGCGCCCAAACGGTAAAACTTAAAAAATATATTTTTGTATCAAAATATTTCCGAATAAACGGTCTATAGGTCTACGTAGCAAAAAAAGTATTTTCATCTACCGTTTAGTAGTAATAACGAAAAAACCTTATAGCTCCAAAGGGGTAAGAGGTAGCATGTCGGTACAAGGGAACGGAAAAAAGCTAAAAGAATTAAGACACACGTTGAGCAAAAAAAATTTCGAAAAAAGTTGAAATTGAGTTAGAAAAGGGCAAAAGTTTCTAGTGCCCAAACGGTAAGAGATAGGGTATCGGTTGTATACATCAAAACCTTCTTCTGGAACGAACGGATAAGTTTGCTCAAAAAAATCGATTCTGTCCACGTCAACCTTGATACAGGAGCCATTTTTAGTTTTTTCGAGGTCGCTACGTAAAACTTTTTTCAGGTCGAAAAAAAGACCATCTAAAGAGGATTCGAATAAGCCTAACATGCAGGACTTAAAAAAAAAAAAAAAAAAAAAAAAAGCGAAATGGGATATTCATATGATTTATTAATAATATAATACTACGACTACTACTACGAGCACTACTATTACAACTACTACTACTACTACCAATATCTATATTACTGCTACAAACATCTAATTATCTAAACTACTGGCCTACACACACTTAATTCTACAAAGCAAAATTTTATACTACTACTATATACATACTTATCACTACAACAACAACAACTACTACTACTACTACCTGCTATTACTACACTAAATTTATTTTGTTCATCAATTCTTTCACCCCTTTCGCACTACTTTCACACTGGATTAGTTGTTTGTTCACTTCCGCGAGTTGCGTTTTTCGTTCTGCCAATAGTCTCTGAAATTCGCAAACTTTGTTGAAATATCTTTTTACGTCTTTTTCATATTTGGCCTTTTTGCGTAACAGGTCACTACGGCGCACCTTTTGAATTTGTTCCGCCGCCCGACACTTCCAACGGAAGGACGACAGCAGCTCCGACGCCGTGGATGGTGCCTGGAACTCTTCCTCGCTCTCCTCCTCCGTTCGAAGTATCAATGGCGGTGTTCGGCAAGCCTGTTCCTCCTCTTCCTGCTGCTCCTGCTCTTCTCGCTGTTGTTGTTGCTGCTCCGTTTGCTGCTCCTCCTCCTGCTGCCCTTCTTCTTGTTCCTTCGTCACGCCACAGACTTGACGAAGTATACCCATATTTTTGCCTTGCGTTTCCAAACCCTCAAATAATGAGGGCGTTAAAGAAACGCATGACTCGTCCAGTGCAATGGACAGCTGGGAGGGCGTCTCTGAAGGCTCTTCCCTTAATTCTATGGCCTTGGAAGTGGACGCTTCTTGCCGAATGGATTTTATTTCATCCAATTCCTCGGCCGTTAAATCGGCCAGTTTCCTCATTTTCGGCATGGCGGGCTGTCAAACAAAATACAGACTTATAAACATTTCAACATTTATGAATATACAAAATTAAAAAAAAAAATGTATATGTTAAATATTAAAAATAAAAAACATTTAGCAAAAAACCAAAAGACCTGTCTGAATTGTGTTGTCTTCTAATATTGTAAAAAATATTAAACAAATAAATAATAAAAAAAACCTACCTGAATTACAATATCCTGAATGATATTTATTTTTTTCGAGTTTACTGAATGCTTCATCTTCTTTCACTTACAAACTTTCACTTTACTTTCACGATCACTTACAAACACTGAAGAACTAATAATGACAATTATGTGTCTCCATACAAAATATATAGGAAAAAAAAATGCAGAGTAATGAAAAAATAATTTTAGAAAGAGGGGTGAAATGCCAAATCAGCAATTTATTATGTCCATATATGGACATCTAAAAGACTGCTAGACTTCAAGGTCATGAAAAACTCTTCCCGTGAGAAATGCAATTTAGCAGTTCTCATGAGACAAACAAATCAGCAATTTCAATAACACGTGCTTTTCTCAGAATTTAGGGGTTCAAGGTGATGAAAACGACTATTTCCGTGAGAAATGCAATTCAGCAATTTTTGAACACGTGCTCTTCTCGGAAATTAAGAGTTCAAGGTTATGAAAAAACCTATTTCTGTGAGAAATGCTATTCGGCAATTCTATAAACACGTGCTCTTCAAGGAACTTAAGAGTTCAAGGTCATGAAAAAACTATTTCCGTGTGAATTGCAATTCAGCAATCCAAGCCTCACTGTGATGAAGCACATGTATATAAGACGTATTGGTGTTCTATAAATTTATCAGTTCAGTTCACACATCAGATATGTTTCCACTGAAAGAGAGTATTTTGGTTTCTCGCGATTTTGATATAGATTCATTGAATGAAGAGAAACGTCGTATCATTCAAGCAATCGAAAGTTTGTTACGACAAAAATTTCCATTGTGCAGAAAATTCATGGCTGGTGGATGTGCCGCATTTCTATTGAACCGAACCTCTTCATATACGGACATTGATATTTATATAGAAAAAAATGAAAATATAGAAGAATGGTCTAAGGATAACTGCCAAGCTAACCGAATCTCTACTTACGTTTATCAATCCAAATGGCCTTGCTGTTATTTGAATTTTGAAGGTTTTCTATTTAACCTTATTTTTATTGAACCTCGTCCTCAAATTTCCTTGGAAGCCAGAATACTAAGAATTCTCAAATCTTTCGATTTAACGATATGCAAAGTGGCAATGTATTTTTCAAGTGGAGTAAATCCAGTACTTGTTGAATGGAAATTAACAGATGTGAATTTCGACAATGTTGAAAAAAAAGATCGCATCACCAAATATAAGAAAAGAATTGCGAAAAAGGAAGTACGATTTGAACCAAACAATTTAGTCATGTCAGCATATACTGTAGTGGTAGATCACGATGATTCCTGTCGTGCTGCTAATAATTTGAAAAATATTAAATAATTTATTGTTGGGTTAAATCGTAGTGCTGATGCTGTTAGAAAAAAATGATAGGATATATGTGAAATAAAACTAATAAATGTAAATAATTGTTTTATTGAATCCGCACATTCATAGATTTTCAAACATTTGTTGGATTATTGGGTTTGCTACAATGAGTGAAACATATTAACACTAAATAAAGTAACACACAAAATATAATTACAAAAATAATTGCTCCTGCAGAAGTAAATATCCAGATCCAGGGTTTTGCCAAACAATATTGTGTAGCATTTTCACCGCTAGAACTTTTGTATCCACTGTAATCGTTAATAGTGGTGATATTTGGTGACTTGCATCGGCTTCTGTTTTTGAAGACAAATTCTAGTCGATACTGCAGTTGGTTGGAAACGGATACATTTTTTGAATAAAACATAACTAACTGATCATGTCCATCTTTAATTTCTATCATTTTTCTACAAGTACATTCTTTATTTCTAACCAGAGTTTGTAAATATACATCTGTAACATTGCTATCAGTGAATAAATAAAAATCTTTCTGTATTAAAATGGTCGATAAAATAAGTGTGCAGTTTAAGCCTAACATTGTTTGGATAGAATGAGTACTTTGTTGTTGCGAGGTAACCTATATATGTATTCAACAGCACCACCACCACCACCACCACCACCACAATTAGCACTAACGGCTCGCCAAATCCCAGCATGCTACTATTACGGTCATTATCGAGAATATGAGAAAAAGTGAAGCAGACCACACATGATCGTTTCTTAAACAAAAATCAAAGATTTCCTTTGAATTGTTACTACTGTTAATATTTTCGATTATTAACCATTGAGAAAATTGTCGATTTCCTTGTTCTGTTTTTATCTTGTAAGCCAAATAATTTTGCGTTGTGATATTTTTCGCATAGAAGAGATGATAACTGGTTTCGATTATATTGATCGGAGTCATTTTTTCCCAACATTCCTTTTCATACGTCTGAATATACAGGAGAGTTATGTTTGGCGTGGTATAGATATATAAGTTGTTTTCAACAAGCGCACTTAATAGTACCATCACGTTGATAGGCAGAAACATTTTAGACTAGTTATGTTCTTGTATACACACACTCGAATAGCAAGCTTGTAGAGGTGGTAAGTCATGGTAGGGTGGTAGCGATAAACGGACCGAAAGAAATTACTATAATTATTTTATTATTTTCTTCTAAAAACTGACTTATAATTATTGATTGCCGTTCTGTCCAGCAGCAGCTCCCTACTCATGGAGGGGACGTAGGTTTGACTAATTTCATTATCCCAGTTGTCTGGGCATTCTATTATTGGCGGTGGTGGTGGTGGTCGTGGTGGTGGTGATGGCGGCGGATGGGATGCTCTGGAAGCAGCCTCACGGAGACATCTCTCCCGCTCCCAGGCCTCACGATGACAATTAAAAATATGGCGCTTCAATCGGCCCTCAAGAAGCCTATGGCTTCTGTCAAACGGGCATATGACAAATTGCTCTAAAAAAAACAATTAGGATTTTTATATAATAGTAATAAAGACAAGCTTACCCATTTTGTTGTTTATATATATTTTTCTTAAGTGTTGAGGACTGAGTGTGATCTTCAATTTGTTGAGGACTGTTATAACTCTTGCGGGTGATCTTCAATTTATACACATTATCAATCCCCACTCTTGCTATTTTCCTCCACTTTTACTACAGAATACATTTTCCTAATTATGCTGAAGTTGATAATTTAGTTGTTTTTCTGAGCTTGCAAAAATACGCGTCTCATTTTTCGCTGATTTTTATTAAATTTGTTGAGTTGTGTGTTACAATCGGAAATTTCGTTCACATATGAATAAGAAGGTATTCCACAGAAAAATAAAAAAAAAATAATAGTGCTCTTCTTTCTACTGTGATAAACAAGTTCGACAGCAAAAAAAAAAAAAAGAAATGCATCCGCAGGAAACAGTGACGGCTATATGTAAAGGCTCGCTTAAGCTAATTCATGAATATATTAGTAAAATCAAAACAATCGAAGAAATTAAAAATTTTTTAGTATATATATATATATATATACCAGCATTAGAATAATTAGAAAAGCACTTAGATGTAAAATACATCGAGAAAATATTTTAGAAAATGCTAATTCCTTAGAAACAAGTCTAGCTTATTTAAAATTTTACCGTTTCAAGCTTTTGAATAAGAAAAAACATTTGTCTCTAAAAATTGGAGAAGGTTATTTTAAAAGAGACAAATTTAAACCTACGGCAAACGTAACCTGGCAAGACATAGAATCTTGTTTTGAACAAAGGATTCGTACAGGATTTATAATTAATCATCACATTAAAGATCCTCTTCAGTTTTTTCGACAATCTTTTAAATGCTTTATGTTTAGAATTAGAAAAGAGCTAAAAAACACGATGCTAAAAGTAAATGTAATTTTTTCGGCAAATTTCATTAAACCGCACTCTGGTGAAACAGACGTTAAAACATTCTCCACAAAAAATCAGCACATTGATGCATATACAGATTTAAAGCAATGGTACGAAGAGAACGTTGTTGATAAGATAATGAAGAAATTAGAAGAATTTGCGGAAAAGGACTCCGGTTGGGCGTTGTATGAGATTTTAGGATTGAAAATTAACATAAATAAATATGATCCAATCAAATTTGGTTACTCAACTTTCGTGTCCACACCAGCTTGCATTAAAAAAAAACATGCAATAATTAATGTCCAAAATGATGATGAATATTGTTTTCTATGGGCAATAGTTTCAGCTTTATTCCCTACCGATAAAAATTCACATCGAAAATCGTCGTATCCACACTTCAAAAATGTGTTGAAATATGATAATTTAGACTTTCCAATCACAATTAAAGACATTAAAAAATTTGAAGAACTCAACAATCTTGCAATTAATTTGTACTGCATCGAGGAGAAAAAAGTTTTACCTTGTCGTTTAAGCACAAGGTTTTTAAATTCTAATAAAGTAATTAATTTGCTTATGCTACCTGCTGAAACACAAATACAAAATACAAAAAACGACAATGATCACTTTGAAGATCGTCAATTGCTCTATCATTTCGTATGGATCAAAAATTTGTCAGCTCTTTTAGCTAAGCAACTTTCCCTCCATAAATGTAAATTTTATATATGCGAAAGGTGTTTAAATCATTTCACTACAGAGGAATTACTCCAAAAACATAAAACTACATGTCAGAGTATTAATAAATATTCCATAAGACTGCCATCAGAAAACGAAAATTATTTGTATTTTCAAAATTATAGATATCAAGAAAAAGTACCTTTTACTATATATGCAGATCTCGAGAGTATTCTTCTTGATTATTCAAAAGACCACATGTCCACTACTTGTAAAACCAATCCTTATCAAAAACATGTTGCATACAGTGTTGCATACTATTTTCACTGTTCATATGATAATTCTCTTTCCAGATTTCGTTTGTATCGAGGTAAAGATTGCATCCAATGGTTTGTTCAAGAGTTAAATCAATTG